CACTGGGACTTAACCCCGGTGCCCCCAGGAAGGCTCCACTATCATTTTTGAAAAAGATTTAATTATTTATGCAGACAGAACCCGGGTGCAGACCAGACATGCAGGGATTGAGAGGACTCCCCAGAGGCAGAGTGGGGAGCAGAGCAGGCGGATCCACTGAAACACACTGCTGAGGGAGCAGTGGGGAGAGGTCTGCTGTGCCCTGGGGTCCCTCCCCGGCCGGGGATCGAACTCGTGCCGCAGCGGCTGTGACAGCCTCACAGCGCTGCGCTGCGACTGCTGCGCCCCCAGGGAGGGCCCACCGTCATTTTTAATAATGGAGACAGCGGTAAAAGCACAATGAGAGAGCACCTCACCCCCGTGAGAATGGCACTTCAAAGCCCCCCAATAACATGTGCTGGAGAGGCTGCCCAGAAAGAAGCCCATCACGCTGGGGGACAGCTCGCCGGCAGCCGCTGCGGACATTGATCTGAGCTCCCCGAAACACTAAAGCAGGAGGGACCTGATGGCCAGCCGCCTCCTCCCGGCATCAAGCCAGGAGCGTGGAACCAGCACCCCAGTTATGTGCCCCCCGCCGAGCCAGGCAACATCTACAGTACCTGGGGCCCGGAGACACCCTGGGTGCCCCTGGCCGCGGCCTGCGAAGAGACCAGGCGGCTGCCACACCAGCCTGAGGCGGGCTGGCACGCTGCCATCTGCACGGACCCGGGGGCAGTCGGCGGGCAGGACAGATGCCCAGGGCGGACGCCAACGCGTGGACAGAGTAAAACTCTTGTGAAAACTGGTGGCTACCAGCAGATGGAGCGGAGCTTCTGAGCTGAGCGGGGGGTAGGCGCGGGGGGCCAAGAGCTGGGGGCTCCTCTTAGGTCCTGGGGACAGCAGGCAGGCCCGGCTGGCCGGGCCACCGAGGAGAACCCAGCAGCGCTTCTCCGCTTTTGAAGCTGCACCCTTGCAGCCACGGCCGCTCCAGCCCCCGCTGGCGTCGCTTAGCGCCAGGCCAGAGGGCGAGGCAGCAGTCCCCTTCCCACTCTTCGCCGGGCCTGCCTCTGGCACCGGCCGGCCGCCGCATTCTGGAGGCCGCAAGGAGGAGAAAGTGCTGCCGGGAAGGACGGACAAGGAGACTTTTCCCTTGTGACCCTGCCCGCGGGCCCTGACCCCCCTTTTTTTCCTGTACGCCCTCTCCCCGGCTTTTTCTTCCTCAGGACCCATTTTCTAGCCTGAACCTGTGTCCCTGGGGAATCGAATCTCTTCTGTCCCCAAATAAA